TGTAGAACTCTGTTTCAAAGAACAGGATGTTTTCTGAGATACAGTGCAGACCATGTCACTTCTCTCTTTTAAAACCTTCAATGATTACTCACTGACTTTTAGGGCAAGGCTAAACTTATCTGCATGGTAATTCCAAAAGCACATTACGAGCTAACCATTTTAGCTCTTCATCCTTATGTTTTATTAATTGCTAATGTCCTCTTTCATCCCCACCCCCTCATACACCCACACTGTCAGGTTGAACAACTTGAAGTTTCATTACTCCAAAAAGGTTATGTTCTTTTATAATGATGAGACTTTGCAACATAGCTCCCTCCTCCAGAAATTTCACCAGTATGATCCATAAAGACATGGCTCTAGATTTACCTCCACTTTGCAGCCTTTCTCAAATTTCCCAGCAGAATAAATCACTCCCTCTCTTCATTCCCTACTGAAGCTTGTACATAATTTTACTATAGTCCCACCTGACTGTAGTCCTAATTCTTGTTACATGATTTTCTCCTTTTACCTGGAGACAGGGATTGTGTCTTACCTTTTGATTTCTAGGCTCTCCACTTCCTGATAGGAAGTAGGAATCAATATATTTTTTTAAACAGAGGAATAAATCTTTCTGAACCCCTACCTCTATGATATCCCCCATATCCAACCAGTCACAAGACTTGTTCTTAGTTGGCATTTGCTGCCCATAGTGTTTCTTCAGAGAAGTCTGATACCAACCTTTAAAAATTTTACTGTTATGTGTCTTGCTGTAGTTTTCCTTTCACTGTGGTAATCTGGTATTCTTCTGGCTTCCTGTATGTCTATTTTCATGTCCTTCTTCATTCTTGGGAAGTTCTCTTCAATTATTTCCTTAAATACTTTCTCAGTTCCTTTGTCTCTCTCACCTTCTGGGATTCCTGTGACTTATATTTCCTTTCCTCATGGTGTCAGTTCTCCAAGTGTTTCTTCATTCTTTTTCCTTCTTCATTCTTTTCCCTTTGTACTTCTTTCCTTTTCTGGTTAGGTTCCTTTTATGTCTGTATCTTTGAGAGTACTGATTCATTCTTCCATTTCTCCTATTTTCATGGCTTTTCCCAGAATTCTCAAGCTTCTCCTCTAATCTCTGGATGCCGTCCAGTTCCTTCACTCTTTCTCATTTCATTGATTGTATTCTTATTTTTCTTTTTAACTCTTTGTTTTCACTATGGCCTCTTTGAATTCTTGTCTGTGAGGTGGAGGTATTCTTCCAAGTTCAATTATGAGGTTCTGGTGGCTGACCTTCTTTCTGTAGTGTATCATTCCCAGAAGAGCCTGCTTGATCATTTGTAGTCTTCTTTCTTCCCATTGTGAGCCTTCAGCGTTGCTCTGTTTGTAGTGCCCATCTGCTGCTGGTACTGGTGGACATGATTTCTGATTTCTCTTGCTCAGGCATGGATATGTCTGCCTAGTGTCTCAACCACTGTGGCTGATGGGTAGAGGTGTAGGTAAGGGCTCTTGTAGTTTATGCCCTGTCCTCTCTTTAGCTGTACCCCTGCTCTAGACCGGTGGTAGTTCATGTCGCTCTTCCCAGGGCATTGGGGACTACTGCACTTAGGAGGTGGGGGGAGATGGGCAGTGCCTGCAGTTCCCACCTGGGTACACTTCCAGACACTTTTCTATTACTGTTTTGTTTTTTTTTAAGATTGATTCATGCATACAGAACTGGGGCACAGGCTAGAGGTGCAGGGGCAACGAGAGGATCCACCAGAGACAGATGGGGAGCAGAAGAGATCAATGAAATACGCTGCTGAGGGGAGCAGTAGGCAAGACAGGAGAGGTCTGCTGCGCCATGTGGGTCACCTCCGGGGCTGGGGATCAAACTTGCACTGAGGCAGCTGCTGCCAGCTTGCAGTGCTGTGCCCTAACCCGTTGTGCTACCAGGGAGGCCTGTTACTGTTATTGTTCTGATGTTGTGCTTTACTCCAGGAGCCCTGCTTTGCTGGCCTCCGCTGCTCTGCAGCATAGGAGGGATCCAAGTCTCAGCCAATGGCAGTCCAGTGTCTAGTGAATTGGGGCCTCCCTGGTGGTGCAGAGGGTTACATCTCAACACTCTGAAGCTATGAGCAGACATTGCAGCGTGAGTCTGATCCCCAGCCAGGGAGCTGGCCCACAGGGTGCAGTAAACCTCTTCTGGCTTGCCCACTGCTCCCCTCAGTAGTTTATTTCAATCAATGTGCCTGTTCTGCTCCCTACTCTGTCTCTGGTGAATCCTCTTCCTCTCCTCCTCATCTGGCCTAAAGCCCAGCTCTGGTATGCGTAAATTAGTAACTCGTTTTCTTAATCGTCTCATGTGGAGCACTGCACCTCCTGATGCATGCTGAGGCCAAGGAGGTACCTGCAGGCTGGTAGAATGTATTTCTCTGTTGAACGCCTAGGTCCCTCTAGGTGTGTGTCAGAAGAATCCCAGGATCAAAAGAGAATAAGGAGCGAAAGAAGGGGTAAGAGGAAAGAGGATAAGAGACGTGTAAAAGTAAGAAAAGTGAGAGAAGAAAGGGCTAGGTGGGGGGGAGGAGAGGAAGGACTGTAACAGAAAGAGGAGAGAAAGTATGATGGTAGTGTTAAAGAGGAGAAAGAAAAAGATCAATCAGGAAACAAATAGGAAAGATGGAGAGGAAGCACAACCAACAGACCAGTGCGTGTGTGTGCACGCACGCGCGCACACACACACAGAACTGCTTCTTAGGACTCTGAGGGCTCCCTGTGAGCTAGTCATTGCTGTTTTAGTCTGGTCCGCTGGGGAGTGCTGTAAGGCTGAGTAGGAGTCTTCCCTGGAGGACTAAAACAAGCACAAAAGCACAGAATGAGCTGCGCTGTGGTTGTAGGAGAAGCAACACTCTTTCTGGGCCTGTGGGGTAGCTGGACAGGGGATGGGGCTCCTGTGGCCTCTTTGACCTGAGGGCTTGGGGTACCAAGAGGCCCCTGATGTAGGCACCAGCCCTATGAAGTTCCCCTGATGTCCGTCCCGCTGCTAACCGTGACCAGCTAAATGGCCCCTCCAGTCTCCAGGAGGGGAAAAGAAAGGAAGCACCACATCAAAGGGGCTCCCACCCGGTGCTGTGTGACTGTGCCAAGGCCCAGCTTGCCCACCTGTCACTGTGGGGACTCCTCATTTCCCTCAGGATTCTCCTAGGGCTGCTGTCTCCAAGCTTTCCCTCCCTCCCTTCTAGACAAAGTAGGCTGGTTTTGTGGGTTGGAGCGGGGAGAAGGGTTCAGTTGATTTTCTCTCTTCCCTTCCCATCTTTCCCAATTTCCTCTGTCTGGGCAAATCACCAATGTTGCCAAGTCTGTCTAATGTGTCCGTGACCCACCAGGAACTCGCCATTATTTTTCCAGTTCTGGGTGCCAGGAATTCCAAGATAAAGGTGCCAGCAGATCTGGTACCTGGTGAATGAGAACCATCTTCCTACTAGAAGATGGCTGCCTTCTCCCTGTGTCTGCAGCTGATTTTGCTGTCCTTGCATCAAGAGGTGGAATTTATTTCCCTTCCTCTTGAATTTGGGTGGGTCTTGCTGGTCCTCTAAGGAGGAGAAACCAGAACAATACTAAGTCTGGAGTTGTTAGCGTCCTTCTTCAGTCTCCCCTAGCCTGAGGGGGTGGGGGAGGGCCAGTTTGTGAACCAGCAGCCTGGAAGACCAATGCGTCTAAATGAGTATGGTATGCCTAAGGTCTCCTTCAGGTCGTCCACGAGGTGATAGCTGGTACGTAGTTGTGTGTGTGACAAGTGCTAGGAGTCAGCTGTGCATGGTTTCTCCTATTTCTGCAAGTCGTATGAGCAACATCTCACATGCAGAAGTTCTGTACACTTATTGTGTACCTTTTTGCTTAACAACGTGTGCAGGTTTGTGGCCATTTTTAATCTACTTAATTTGTATTTCTAAGGTACTGTTTTTATCAGCTACATAACAGTTCATAGTATCCATTGAACACTTAACACCCTCCTTTCTTCCAAATATGGACACCCAGACTGCCTCCAATGATATATTGGAATTCTTCAGAATGTATCTACGAGTAGATATGTGTAATAGTTCACTGGGATGTATCCAAGGAGAATAACTTCTGGGTCAGAGAACATACATGTAGTTATTTTGATGAAGTAGTGTCAAGAGTGCTCTCTGGATTGTTCTGATGTTCCTATTATCAGCGAGAAACACGTTACAACTATATCTAGCATCAGTCTCATAAAAAATATATTTTCTCAGCTATTAAGTCTGTTTCTACAGGTTTCTTAGTTTGGCTAACACTGCCTGATCAATCTTTTCGCCATAGTTTATGTTCACTTTTTCTGTGTCTTTTTGTTTTCAATGGCTCCTGAAGAAAACATATTGAGTATCTTTTTTAAATTATTTTTATTGAAGTTGCATGTAACATTCTGTGTGATTCAGGTGTTTACTGATAATCAAAATGTGAATATATTGCATTAATTTCACTCTAAAGTCTGGACCTTTCTTTACCAGGAAATGAATATATATCCAGGAAATGAAGTTATTTATTTATTTATTTATTTATTTATTTATTTATTTATTTATTTATTTATTTATTTATTTAAACAGAATTCACAACTTTATTTAAAAATATAAAAACATGCCCTAAAATAGTAAATCAACAAATTTGTCATTTGATCAATTGCTCTTGACACTGAGATATGCAGAATTTGGATTTGGCTGAAAAACACTGGAAAACTGTCAGAGACCACTCTATAAAGTGGGGGCTAAAACAGGACCATCATCAGTTAAGACCCAGGCCATGTTACCAGGGGCCACATCACAGGCAGGCCAAGGCAGAAAGTAGAATGGCTGAGGTGGTAG